TAACCAAGTAGCTTTGTATATAGTTGCAAAACCACCTTCACCTATCTTTTCAATATTTGTTAAATCATTATAAGGAACCCATTGAAGATAATTACCATTCCAATACCCAGTTGCTTTAAGTTGTGTGCTTTTAATCAATTCATCTAATGTTTCATCGCCACTAGTCCATCCTTCAGTTAATAATTTTAGATCACATGATTGACACCATGCCCGACTGGTATTATATTTATTGCATGTTGGACATTCCCCATATGCTTCATCTCTTTTTTTTGAATATTCATCATTTTTGTCAGTAGAAGTATCATCATGATGTTTATTTTCATCCAAAGTGTTTTCCATCATGGTTTTTTATTATATTTATAAAAAAAAATTTTTCTAAAGACTTTTTTTTTCAGCCACAAATATGTATCACACTAAATATTAATATAGATTTTCTGAATTACAATTATTCAGCATCATGTAAATAAATTCAACGTGCATCCTAAAGTCGTTAAAGCTATAAACCATAAAACTGTAATAAATATTGCAAGAGTGTGATCTGAGTTATTGGAATCACCAAATATGGCAAACTAAATTAAAATCATTATACACAACTACACTATTTGAATAAGGTTTATTCGAATTATCTGTTTTACTCATTATGAATTGAGTATTCAAATTAAATTAGAAGTTTATTCAAATAAAATGAATAACGAATAATTCGATAATTCAAGTAGATAATTCAAATAAAACAAATAAACAATTTGAATAAAACAAATAAACGAATGATTCAAATAAATGAATGGTTCAAATAATTCAAATAGTCCGAATAGTTCAAATAATTCGAAATAAAACAAATGATTCGAAGTAAAATGAGTAATTCGAAAACAATTCAAAATAAAATGAATACACTTGGTGGAAAAAAGTCACCGGACACTTTATTTATTTGATAATTACTACAAAAGAAGAGTATTTTTTAATAACTTTACATTCTTGAACACGTCTAGGCATACTATCGATCAATTTCTTATAGGGCTTTCTGGGAATTCTTTCCCACTCTTCTTTCAATGCTGCATACAATTCATGCTTATTTGCGGGTCATGGATTTCGTTTTCATAGTTGTCCTTGCAATTCATCCCATAGATTCTCAATTGGGCTTAAGTCAGGTGATTGCGCAGGCCAATTCGAGAGCATTTTAACTTGTTCCTGAGAGATCCAGGCTTTTGTATCTTTGGCAGTATGGATGGGCGCATTATCTTGTTGAAAAAAATAATGGCGATGATTGAATTTTTGATGAATCCATGGCAACAGATTTTCTTCCAATAGCCAGTGTTGGCAATTGGACTTTGGACCAATTCTAAGGGGTAGCCAATCATATTTCAGCATTTAAATTAATGATGACAGATAAAAATTTTTTATTAACATTATATATTTTATAATTCTTGATAAAAAGAAGGATCATCTAAATTATATTCAAAGATTTCTCCTATTTCCTATTTTCCTTTCTGTCTATTAATAGCTGGGTGTCTAGTCCTTTTGATTCTTTCAATTGACCCTATTGGACCTACTTAAAGACACTTGCCGTAAATGATTTGGCTGGTAGCTACTGTTGCTGCAAATAACCAATTATGGTAGGTGTCTTTAGACCTACTAATTCATTTAATTCTTCTTCTTCCTCTTCTAATACTTCATCATTCAGCATTTCCATCCACTGACCCATCACTGCGTTACATTGAACCTCATTTTCAATGTCTCCTATAAAAGATTCATTGCTTATTTCACTTTCTTGTATTTCTGATTCCTCAACTGGAGCAACATAATTTTCGGAATGGAATTTTTTTTGTGATTCATCAACTCAGTCTTTTTTCTTCTATAATTCATGTCATTCCTTATTTGATCCATTGATGACACTTTGTTATGCTAAATAAACATTAATAAAATTAGTCAATAACAAACAATAACAATATATTATATTCAATTGAGTTACTTACATCAAGTCTATTTCTTCTGTCTGAATGTAAATGCCCCATATTAGAAAACAAGCATTCAACTCTAGCAGTCATCACTGTTATTGAAAATACTCCTTTATCTACTGCTTCTTTTTCATTTTCAAGGACTTTTAAAATTATGTCATTCAGCACATTATTTGATTCACCATAATTATGAATTGTATTTATTATCAATTGCTAAAAAAAAGGTAAATTATAAATTAAATTCAAGTTCAATTCAAGAAAAAATGATTAAGAATAAAATATCCAAAAGAAATGAGTTGCTTACTTCCTTATCATTCCTAGGTTTATTATTATTATTTTGTGAAAATTATTATTATAACTAGAATGACAATCATTCTTATAACCAATAAATTTTAATAGCTAATAATAAATAACACTTACCTACAATTGCAGGCAATACTATTTCCATTTTGTCTCTTTATTCTGATATTTTTGTTGGTGCTGGGCATTTTCTTGTTATTGATTATTAATTCTTTCACTATGCAAAAGGTTGGTTGGTTGGGGAGAAGTCAGGAAAAAAAAGTTGATTACGAGCAGGAAAAAAAGCACAAGAATAAGTATTTGGTATTATTGGCAAGTACAAACACATTTTCTATTTTGTGACATACCAGAAGTCAACAAATTCCTCAAGTATGTAAGCTTAACTTTATCATTTTTGCTCTTAGTAAGCACTTTTTCTACACTAGGTAATTTTTCAGTATTGTTGAAATACATGAATAAATCAGCTACTTCATGTATTGTTGTACAAGACTTCATATTGTCAACTTGCCAGTTCAGGATGGAAAGAAATTGCAAAAGATATATTTCACAAATTTGGTCCACTATGTAATGATGTAGAATTTCAAACATTAATAAATTTATTAGATAATTTAATACCTGCTGCTTTAGATGTCTAATCTTTCATTCAGAATCTTGTGATCAGTATGTAGATACAATTTTCAGATTATGGACATTTGCCCTAAGGTGGGAGAGAAAAAATTACAACAAAATCCCATTGGCCTTCCTTTCTGATTATTTCTATTGGAAGGATAATAATCACACCTTGTCAATTTCAATGATTACTATATTGAAAATTGGCATAGTAGAATTAGAAGAAGTACAACTAGGGTTTGTATTCATGAATATCATGAATATCATTAAGGGGGTTACACACTATTAAAACAGCAAAAAATCTCTTAAAAACATGAGTTGATCACTTGATTTTAATAGTGTGTGACACTGTGTGACCCCCTTATGATATTCATGAATACAAACCCTAAAAGGTGTGTAACTCCCTTAATGATATTCATGATATTCATGAATAAAAACCCCAAGTACAATTCTTTTGATGCCATAATTTCTCAGGCCTTTATATTAGATTCAAATGAACTGACCTTATTTAACTCATTTAGAAAATTTAAAA